GCACAGAGAGGATCAGCTCCAGATATTGCGCCCAATGTGAGGCATCTGGCACATCCAGCTGCACACCTCCTCGATCACCTTCGAAATCATGGCGCACCCATACCGATGTCTACACTACCTTGGAACACACAACGACGAGACGACGCCGTCGCCCGAGGTCCCCATAAGTCTGCAAAAGATGAAGTGTCCTTCGTCCGAGAAGAGTTCACGGATTTTCTCAACAAGAAATTCTGGACCATCCTACCCTATCGACTCGTGCGGCATCTACAGAACTTGCGACTCAGTCCTCTGGGCGTCGTTCCACAACGGGACAGACGGCCCAGACTGATAGTTGACCTTTCTTTCTTTGGCATCAATCAAGAATCCGTCCCAATCGCACCATCAGATTCCATGCAATTCGGACGTGCCCTTCACCGCATCCTACAACGAATCCTCCAAGCCAACCCTCTGCACGGGCCTGTTTACATCTCCAAGATTGACATTGCCGATGGTTTCTACCGCATTCAATTGGCACCTTATGCCGTCCCACATCTGGCTGTCCTACTCCCGCAACACCCCAACGAAGAAGCCATGGTTGCCTTTCCCCTGGTCCTCCCTATGGGCTGGGTCAATTCGCCACCATACTTCTCGGCCGTCACCGAAACTGGAGCGGACCTGATGAACCGACGCCTCAAACAGCGCCCCCAAGAGCCACCTCATCGCCTAGAAGAGCTTGCCCTGTTTCCACCAGCACTTGAGAAGCCTGCTTCCAGCCTACCTCCGACAACCCACCGTGTGGATGACCCCATCGCCACGCCACCTTCCAAGCCCATCCATCAACCCCGGTTCCGTCGGCCAATGCGATACGCTGACGTCTACGTTGATGACTTCATCTCTTTGGTCCAAGGTACCGAGAACGACCGTCGTCAAGCCATGCGCACTCTTCTTCACGTGCTCGACAGTGTTTTTCGACCTCGTGACTCCACCAGAGACCTCCCCTTTCGTCAAGAGCCGGCTTCCGTCAAAAAGCTCAAAAAGGGCGACGCCAGCTGGTCTACCAAAAAAGTTGTGCTCGGATGGCTCCTGGATTCTGTTGACAAAACCATCAGCCTCCCGCCACATCGAATTGAACGGCTGCAAACCATCCTGGCTGGCATTGGCCCCACTAAGAAGCGCATCAGTGCCAAGAACTGGCATCGGTTGCTGGGTGAATTGCGATCTATGGTGATTGGAATCCCAGGGGCACGCGGCCTGTTTAGCCCACTTCAAGAAGCCTTTCGAACCGAAACCCCGGACCATCGCCTTCGCCTGAACGCCATGGTTCACCAATTCCTGGACGATTTTCGTCAGCTGTCCACAACCCTTGGTGACCGTCCCACCAGGATAGCCGAGCTCATTCCTCAAGATCCGAGTGTTATTGGAACTACAGACGCTTCGGGGACGGGAATGGGCGGTGTTGCTTTTCTCAATACTCCCTCTGGTCTGCGACCCATACTCTGGCGGCATCGCTACCCCAAGCATGTCCAATCAAAATTGATAACCTTCGACAATCCACGGGGTTCGTTGAGCATTG